TTTTTTTTTAAATTGCAAATAAAAGTTTATTCTTTTTTTAATTTCCCGAAAAAAAACTCTCTCTTCTTGGTGCTTCTTTTGAGATTGACTCAATTTTTTTAAATTCATAACCTTTATTATAGGTCCCTGACTTTTACAAACCTGAAAGAAGTCTAATACATATTAATGCTTGTTCATTTATTACAGACGCTGGAAAGGTGGCTGTATTGAGCCGCATCCTACAGATAAGGCATTAATAGTTAACTATGAGCTCGAGGCAACAGTGTATGGGAAACCCGATAATCCCATGGTTGAAGAGAAAAAGGTTTGAACCTCAGTAATAAGCTCCGAGTTTATTTGATTCTTCCTATTCTAAAGTTTTTATTCATTACTTGGGTAACTAAAACATACTTTTTTATGGTAATAAAGCATTGCCAAAAAATCATACGCCTGCGATCGCTGAATTTCAAAACAGATCCCACTACGCTGGCTCGAGAGGTAGTAGATAAATGTGAACTTATACATAAGTCACAACTAAATGAAGTGGAGCAAATTATATTTTACCTAAAAAACCGTAAAGACAATTCTAGTAATGGTTAGTCCAATTTTCACTAACAATATGCTGATAACTATTAAACTATTTATATATATAGATAATTCGCATACAAGTAATCGCCAGTCATCACAGGCATCTCATATGAGGTCTTCAGCGCGGCCATATAACAATGGTGTGGTCATATCAAGTAACTCTATAGGATTGGGGTCTACTGATAGCACAAGAAAACCCATACGAACGGCGGATGTGACCATTAACAACATTGACGACTATGTTGAGTTGCTCTACGAAGAGCTGAGCGAGAGAGTTCGTGGTTCTGGTATGATATTGCAGATGGCTCGAAATCCCGACAATCTAGAAGAGTTAGAAAAAAATGGCAAGTGATTTTACTGTACATGCACAGTTAGCAGACATTTTCTGAAATATAGTCTTGTAGAGGCCTGCCTAAGTGCTTTAGCTCGTGTGCTTCGCGAAGATTGGCGTAAAAGCTTGGATTTGTCTACAAACATAATTTATATATTCTTTTGCTTCTCAACTTATACCAAATTTCATCCCCTAATTGTGCAGTACAAGGTAAGTTTAAAAAAATTAATCTCTATTAATTTCATTATACATTGTATAACAGATCGGATCGTTATGTATGGATGTCATTGATTTTGAGTTGCGTCGTTATGAAACTATGCGTAACGAATTGGACGGCCGAAAGCAGTCAAACTACTCCACAACTCTATCGGAGTTTGCTGGTAAAGACAAGCTTAATTGTAGTACGGACGACTCTTTGGATATTATGAAAGAAGAAAAACCAAAAGACGTAAGTAAGCAATACTGCCTAATCATGTAATAGCGTTATTCATAATTGTTTCAGAGTACAATGTCTTAGTTAAGTTCAGTCCATGCGTGATGCGTGCATGCCTATGTGTGAGTTTCTTGTGTTAGCAGCAAGATGCAAATAATTATCGAAATATCAATTCCTCAAAGGGTTCAGGTGATTTCGTAGTCGAGGAGTCTCGACTAGAGCTTTCTTACATGTTTATACTAACTTAAATTCTATTTTGGATGTATGCGTCCTTCTTTATCGTAATTCGTCTGTTTCAAATAAACCCCACTGGTTTACTAAGACTCTTTCGGATTTAAGAAACATTAAAACTAAATGCTTTAAAAATTATAAAAAGTGTTGACTGGTGTAAATATTCCATACCCAAGTTAAATTTCAATCTTTTAAATTCTTGTTATTAATAAAATCATCTTATACGTTGTAAACATCGGTTTTCTCGAGATCTTACACAATTTTACTCATTTGTAAACTTGAAGTGTAAATCTTCTGGTTTGCCGTCTTCATTTGTTCTTGCTGAAAAAACTTGTAATGAACATGATTCCTCTGATCTTTTGTAGATTCCTTTCAATCCACTTATTCTTCTGTTGATCTCTACAGCAACTCATATCCATATTTACTTCCTGATTATGGTTATATTAATGCTACTAAAGTCACTGCATCCTCTCTATCAGCAGCCATTAGGACGTTGAAATCATATTTCTCTCCTGGTGCCGATAATGTTCCAAGTTGTGTGGTTAAAGAGTGCAATGTTTCTCTTCAGCCACCATTACTAAAATTGTTTAATTTGTGTTTGGAAACTTCTTCAATTTTAAAAATGTCGCTCGTTATACCTCTATATAAAAAAGGTGGAAGGTCTGATATTTCCAATTATAGAGATATTACGAGATTATCTGCTATTCCGAAGTTATTTGGAAAAATTATAACATCGGCCTTGCAACATTTTTGCAAATCGATTATTCAACCATCCCAACATGGTTTTGTTCAGAATTTACTTCCCTTCTCATTGACTGTTTTTTCTACAAAAATGCAAACTGATGTTATTTATACAGTCTCGACTAGAACCTTATTACTTTTTCCAAGTGTAACTAATTTGTTAAATTGAAGTGTCAATATGTAAACGATTTTTATTTGTACTAAATTGAGCTCCGAGTTCGAGCCCCCTATCAAGCAGTGCTGATTTTTAATAAGGAGCGAATCTTTTGTTTGCTTATTTTATTTTTACGTATCTAGCAACTCTGCAGCATATGTGCATCAAATCAGAAATAATTTTCAAAATATAGAATTTTTCCCTATTGCAACTAGAAAAGTGCATTTTTGGAATATATATGTAAATATGATTTTATTTATGTATGCACTAAAATGCTACATGAATACCAGAAAAACGGTGTTCGCAATATACATACATTTATATGTATGTGTGTGACATAGAAGCTAAGCCGAAAATAGGTTGAGTGAAAGAGTGCGCTCGAACTCAAGGCATAATATTCAGCCGAACAAAAAAATGGAGGAGTGGGAGTGTGAGTGCGAGTACATGAGTTGATAAGTTTGCATACAGACACAAAAATTATCATACATGTAGCAGAGGATTGTGTGTGCATGCTTGTCGTGAACATATTTCAATTTTTCTGCGCAATTGGTTGTCTTTATCTTTTATCTCTTACATCTTTCTCTTTCTTGATTTTCTTATTTTGTCTCTGTTCTCTCGTTTTCGGATTTTACCCTTTTTATACTACCCTGAACCCATTTTCAATGGGAAATCAGGGTATAATGGTTTTGTTAAATGTATGTAACAGGCMGAAGGARGCGTGGCAGACCCCATAAAGTATATATATTCTTGATCAAGGCGACGAGCTGAGCCGATTTAGCTCTGTCCGTCTGTCCGTATGTTTGAACGCGTCGATCTCAGAAGATATAAGAGCTGGAGAATTTTTTCTTCCTAGGTCCTGGTCCGTGAATATTACGAGCATATTGAGTTTTGTTTTAAATATCGATAACTTCCCCGTTATTTTGTTATCGA